TTATTAACCTGAAAAGACAACTTTAGTTAATGGATAATAAAGTTTCTAATATCAAATGATTACAAGAATAAGGTTGTTTGAGCCAAATTCGACATATTGATATTCGATGCGTTTAGGACATGCATTTATAGATACGTAGTAATTTGTAAGAGTTATAATATATTCATGTAGTCGAACTAGCATGTACATTCAAAGAGAATTTGGATAGTACATGCATTTAGAGTGTATTTGAGTGAATCTCCGACAACTGCATTCTCCAATAAATGTCCAGATTACATCTTATCGCGTTCTTCCGACAAAGTTTCAATGTAGCCAGATTAGAGTCTTAGGATCAAGGTATATTTAAAGTATACAGAAATAGAAATTTACTATGCCAGCCAAACTTTTACGCGTTAACTTTAGCAAAATGCTGTAAGCTATCAGAGATTTTGGTTGCTTAAAATTTAGGATGTCAAGGGCATAGACTTTCGAGAATATTACCGTTAGTATCGAAGAATAGATGATTTTCGAGAAAAGGTCATGTCAAGGAATTGTTGCGAAGAAAGCATTTAGAGATCACATTAAAGTTTTTAAATTGAGATATATTAAAAATTCAGGTTTCTTTTTTCTTTTCAATCATATTCAGCATTTATCACGCTATATATATTTTACATTGTAAAATAATAATCCACAGAACAGGATATTGTTATTGATCATGATCAATATATATTTGAAAAATATTTATCGTTATCATTAATTCAGTAATTCACCGAGAAAAATCATGTTATTAACATGCACGTGATAATTATGTATTATTATTCGGAGCGCCTTCGAACAATGAGCTTAGATATGAAGGACATCAAAATGATTATGATCTATTATTATTCGGAGCGCCTTCAGGACATCAAAATGATTATGATCTATTATTATTCGGAGCGCCTTCAGGACATCAAAATGATTATGATCTATTTTCACTAAATAATTCACGGTGAACTTCATTTTCAGGTGTAATAAACTATTTGGTCTTTGAACTAACTGTTCGTTATTCCTTCTTTCTCACCTCTTTCTCATGTTCAAGACTTTTAATGCGTTCTTCTTGCTGTTTACGGATCATTTCCAACAACTTTAGCTTCTGTTTAATGTCATTAATATAAGATTCTTGCTGTCCATTACTATCTATCAACCTTTTCAAATCACTATTTAGGCCTTGAATTTTACGCGTGAGTCTGCGGACATCCTTTTCAAGCCTATAGTTGCAAGAAAAAAAAATTCAAATAAACTGTACCTATATCTATTTATCATATTATAATTACCTTGCTTTATCCTTTTGGACCAGTTCTAAGGCTTCAAACAGAGAAGAAGTGCCAGAATTTTGTAAACGAGTACGACGGTTATTTTTATAACAGCGGGTCATTTTATTGAAAGTCTTTTGTGGAAGAGTTCATTCCTACGTATTCAGATTAAACATATATATATATATTAGTAACCATATAACATGCACAGTAAGGCTGGTTTACCAACGGGTCATCCAACCTATGTATGTACCTAGCTTAACAACCAACAGTTACGTAACAGCTTTGTTGAAAATTAGATCTGATAAATTTAAATCACGGGATCTTTTAACACTTCTAGTAAAATGTGATTTTGGAGAACTTGCTCGTTCAAAATTTTTGCATCACAAATTTTGAAGCTCATTCAATACTTTGATGTCGCTGTTTTTTGTTTCGGAAGATTACAAAAATAATCGAGTGTTTAAACATTTTATTGATCTACTTACAATATTACAGTTTACTTCGGAAATGACCAGTTTAAAAAAATTTATAACGATAAATTCTTTAGGTTTCTGGTTTTCGAACTCAAAATGTCTTGTACAATATCGAAATACTATTCAAATACGAACTGCAATATTTTCTAAAAAGTGCCCTCTGTCATTTTATTAGATCTATTGTGTGATACATCGCAGTTTAATCCAACTTATTGTTGATTGATCTTATCAGCGAAATCCGCTAGTGCCTGCATAGACACCCCTGTATAGTACCATTCTCAGGCAAATCCATGGGTTTTAAAAAGAACCGGGACACTGTAAGTAGCCAAACTTTTAAGAGGTAGTTTACATAAAAATAATCGATATTAGTATGCTTAGGCGACTTGAAATTAAAACCTTGTTTAACGTTATTTTTTTT